AGGGGCTGGGGGAGCAGAAGGGGCCGGCGGGGGCGGGGGTGGGTTGGTGAGGCCCCACACTAGAGTGGGGCTGTTGCTGGGATGAAGACGGCATCTCCGACCAGGAGATGTCTGAGGCAGCAGCTGGGGGGCAGTGGGAATGTACCTGGAGACCCCGCCCCCACCTGAGGGGCTTCGCCCCGGCAGGGGCCGCAGAGGGGAGCGAGAGAGGAAGTGAAGACCGCGCTAGGTCTGGGTCGGTGCCCCTAAGTGCAGCCCACCCCGGGGGGATGGCAGCTGTAAGACCGGGGGCCCATTTGAATGGAGGGGTGAACAAAGGGGGCTTCGGAGCCGGGTTGGTGGCTTTGTTGTCGGAAACGTCTATCTTCCTCTGGTAGTTGTCGCTGGGAATAAATGTTTGCCTTTCTGAAGTGCCTGTGCGTTCGGTGTCCGTGTGTCCGGTTTAAGGCAACAAGACAGCTCCTGAAAAACAGGACGGAGGGCAGAGGCTCATCTCGGAGACAGGACTGTCAGGTGCAGCAGCCGGGCTAAGGGGGGGCATGACAGCCCCAGGCTCCAAAAAGCCCGTTAGAGGAAGGTGCCCCTTGATGGGAAGGTCGACACCAAGGTCCCACGAGAAGGGACTCTCTGGGGCCAGAACAGTGGGAGGGTAAATGGTGTTTGATAGGTGGTGAGCTCCCCATCATGAGGTGTGTGAGCAGATGGTCGGCTGGAGCCTACAGGCCCCTCGGGCTTTTGGCTTCTGGATCCTCATTGACTCATCGTCTCCATGGCTCTGACTGAGGTGGATGCTTCCTGCTCCCCTTCGAAACGTGGCCACTGTTTCACTGTCCCTCAGAGCCACCTGGCTCCCACAGAGGCTGGGCTGAGGTTCGTCCTGCTTCTGGGGCTCAGAGGCCCCCATTTCTCCCCGATCCAGACCCTCCAGACCCTCATCTGCGGGCCTCTCTCACCTGTCTCCTTCCTGGTCTCCCAGGATCACCCCTCCAACCCTCCTTCCTCCCGGGCATTGAATGCCCAGCTTCCAACAAGGGCCTCTAATACTCTAATGCTGCCTGTGGCTCCCTTCGCCAGCTTCTCAGCCTGGCGTCCAAGTTCCTCTGAGGCCTGGCCTGAGCGCTCCTCCTGGTCCCTGGGGGCTGCTTGGAGCTGTTCCCCGGGGACACTTCCCTCCTGTCCTGTTGGGGCACCTCAGAGCGTGATCTGGCCCCAGCCCCTCATCTTGGGGTGCCCTCAACCAGAGATGAAGACAGCCCGGTCGGCAGATAGGTAAGAACTTTTGGTCTGGGTTGCCATGTCCCAGCCAAGCGCCCCTCTGAGCCTCAGTTTCCTCATCTGCGAATGAAGATCACTGTTGTCTCTCAGGGCTGCAGGGAGTGATCTGGATGACGTCTGCCTACGTGGGGCTGCCAGGCACATGGGTACCCCGCGGCGACAGCCCCGCTCCCTTCCACTCCAATGGCCTGCCTGCCGTGGTCTCCTGAGCGACCGGCCCACACTGGGCTTGGGCCTCCAGCCTCTGGCCAGCTCTCTGGCTCCTCCGGGTGCCTGCCCAGGCCAGGGCAGGCTGACTCATGCGTAGGAGCGTGGGCGCAGCCAGCAGCTCCACTCTGTGGCTATTTATAGCTCCCAGGCCAGGCTCTTGGCCTTGTGAGCTGGGGGAGGACAGGCCCGAGTCCCCTCCCTGCTCTCCCCAGGGCATGGGGGCCCAAATCGCCATCGGAGCACCCCAAACTAGGATAGCCGTGACCCTTGCCTACGGCCGGCCGGGGGGCCCTGGCCTTTGTGAGCGTGGGTATGTGCTGGCAAGAGGCCGGCTGGGGCTGGAACTCGAGTCCCTCCAGCTCTGAAGCCGCCACCCAGACTTCTTGCTGTCCCTGGCTGGCCATCCCTGTCCTGCAGAAGCCCTCTCCGCTGCAATGGACAAGCGTTCACCTGCAAAGTCCCAGCGCCTGGCCTGGCCTGGCCGCCCGTGGGAATTGTCCCTGTCCCAATGCTCATCCCCTCCCCCCCCCCACCCCCCACTCCTGGCGGTACCGTGGGGGGAGGAAGGTGGCTGAGATGCATTCTCTGGCTCTGTGCTCCCAGGATTAATGCAATTAGGTGGGCAAAGCAGAGGCTGAGGGTCACACAGCCTCTAACTAACAGATGCAGTTTGCCCCACAAAGGCTTTTTTGTTTGTTTTTTTTTAAGTTTGGTGTCAACATTTGAAAAGAAGAAAATCATTTGTCAAAACTCAGTTTGCCTTGAAAAATGAATGGGCTGGCCCTCCCG